CCCATGAGCTCTATAGTTACCCACACTGGTCCCCACAACCTTGCATAATGTCCTGTTACATCACAGGGTTTGCTGAGATGCAGAATCTATGACAAAGTTGCACCTTTGGCCATCCAGCTTCCTTGTTACGTAGATACTGTGTGTGCATGCCATTTTACACCTAACTGTTGGGACTTTCACGATGGGTGTTGGTGGGTGTCCCTCCGGCTTGACTCGATTGTCTGTCTCTATCTCTGGTCTGCCAGTCTGCAATTCAATTGTTGCTGTCACTTTATTTGCCGGCTTATATACTATAAAAGCGCGCGTCTAGCAAAGGCTCGAGCCTTCCGGAACGTTCGAGATACTACTTACTGTTACCAGCGTCACGTGACTTCCGCTGTCTTAACATTAGATTTGAATGTCATTTGTAAACCTAGGCCATAAGTGGAGGCAGCTTGTAAACATTTTAAAGAAGAAATAAACTAATTTGTTATTGTTACTTGGAGTGGACTTCAAATTGTTTTCATCATGTAATTTGGAAGAACCTTGCCAATGAAAAAACAACGTTAAAATACTAGTGTTAGGTTTGAGATTATTTTGGTTTGTTTTATTTTAATTTAGTGCAAAGCTACTCGAGGGCTATCTGCGCTAGCTGTTCCTAATTTAACTCCTTGACTGCGACTTCCTTAAATGCGCGCGGAATTTTTGCGAGCGGTACGCAGTACACAGCACACTCATATTCAACTGCTGGAGGCGGACAGTACTCTATACGGCGAATCAGGAGTCAATGGGTAAACACTGATAGACTAGAGGGAAGGCAGCTAATCAACACTACCCAATGCCAACTTTTGGGCTACTCTTTACCAAAGAATAGAGGGACTGACTATCATGGATGAAAGGAAAGAGCGAGCATGTTTGGTGACGGGAATTCGAATCCGCCACCTGCAGATTGCAAGTCGAGCACCCTAACCATCAGGCCATGTCAGGCAGAGATGACATCTCCAGGGGATATTGGAGATTTATTGGGGTTGTTGAAATAGTTAAAAGAAAGTCAAGAAGAGCAAAACATAACATAATGTCTTAGAACAACAAGGGAAGTATTGGTCCATCTCGGCTGTTTCTAAACTAAACTAAAACTATTAAATAAATAATTTTTTTTTAAATCTTAAAACCAGTCTTTATCATTCATATTGTTATCAAGCTTTCTCTTAAGCTCAATTTAAGTTTACTGTCTCCAAAAAAATTAAATGAAAGGGGTAGAAAAATAAAAAAAGGTCAAGAAAGAGCCTGAAAATTAGAAGAAAAAATATAAAAATGAAAGAAAACCAAGAAGAAATTTATAGAAATTTGAAAGATGTTTAAGAGGTAAGAGACGGAAATTTGAGAGAGAAGTTCATGGAAAGAGACATAATATTTATGAATATTTAAAGAAAAATCACAATATAACGTACCCACAGTAGAAAGTGCGAGTATGTTCAATGATGGGGATTCGAAACCACGACCCACAAATTACAAGCTGAGCACCCTAACCACCAGACCATACCAGGTCCACAGTACTACCGAAGAAGTATGAAAGGTGAAGTACAGAAATACATCCATGAAGTATGGAAAATCTGTAATGACAAAAATCAAAGAAGTATGAAGTGATATAACTGAGATAGAAAAGAACATAAGGAACAGAATAAAGCATGGAAAAAGAATTGATAGATGTAAAGATTGAATCGGCCACATTTTCTTCTGCATCAGTTCAATAATTCCAACCTAAAACATCATCTGCTACAACATATTGAATAGGATAACTTGTTTGATATACATCTGGGTCATAACAGAACCAAACACCTCAGCATGTTTTGATGGATTAATAGTTGGTAAACTTCTTGTGGATCTGAAGAATAACGATGTCATAATTAGAGCCATGAACACAATCTACCATAAAATTGGAGTCAAATCTGAATGAAACATTGCAAGATGGGAGTCTTTACAGGTAGTACTTTAACATCAAAGAACTTCAGAAGTAGTCGTGTTTGAGGAAAGATGTTGAACGTCTGATCTTAATTCCTTACATAAAGATAGATTATCACCTCCCTTACGAGAGATGTATGACTGGAACTGTAAGGATCTTACAGCGGATCAATGTCAGAGATTACATAACTTACTCACTGTATATCAAAATATCTTCTCCAGTGAACCTCATGACAGTGACTGAACAAATAAAATATCTCACAAGATTGATACGGGAGATGCAGCCACAATACCTCACTTAGCATGATGACTTCCACTTGCAAAACAGGTTGAGGCCTTTAAAGTGATAAAAGTCACGAAGAAACAAGAAGTGATGTAAACGAGTACCAGTCCATGAGCATCACATATTATACTTGTGAAGAAGAAGGATGGATCTTGAAGATTTTGCATGGACCCCTGAAAGGTGAATGAAACCACAAAAAAGGAGGCCTATTCACTGCCAAAGATTGACTATACTTTGAATGCTCTATCTGGATAAAAATAGTTTTCAACATTGGATCTTGAGAGTGGATATTATCAAAATCAAGTGAACAAAGCATGCAGAGAAGAAACAGTTTTATTGCAAAAAATGATTGTGACAATTTTCATGCTATTATTTGGGTTATGTAATGATCTTATCACATTTGACGATTAATGGAGTATGTCCTGTCTGACTTACTGGTTCACCTACTTACATGATATAATCACAAATGGAAAGTTCTTTGATAATGTTTATGATGAGCTAAGAAAAGTTCTGGATTGGTTGAGGAAAGGGAACCTTAAGCTGAATCCCATGAAGTGAATTGTTCTATTAACGAATGATTTTCTTGAACACATAGCAGCAGAGAAGGAGTAGCAATATATATCCATTAGATATTAATTCTGTCCACGATTGGCCAACAACAAAGAATGTTTATGAGGTAAAAGGATTTCTTGGACTGTGATATTACTATTGTTCTTTTGTAAAATCATTCTCTGATATAGCTTTCCTTGTACATAAATTACTTGAAAAGCGAAGTAAGTTTTCTTGGACTACTGATTGTGTACAAGTATTCAACGAATCGAAGAACTCCAAGAGTCAATTTTAAATCTTGTACATCACTCTGGCTGATGCATT